TATACATATATATATACATATAATATATATATATATATATATATATATATATATATATATATATATATATATATATATATATATATATATATAGCATTTTGGTGAGAATTCTCCAGAAAAAAGTTATTCGTGATTGCATTCAAGCGGGATAGTATGATTTCTTTATATTTGGCTGGAAAACCACAAGTGGCCATCGTTAGAGCACTCCAGCATTTAAATGTGAATAAATCTTTTGGGTCTCCTTCCATCGCTCGTTACCGATTACGGGATACTGGTAGCGTAGCCCGACGTCAAGGAAGTGGACGGAAGAAAACAGCAACTTCAGCAGAAATGGTTCAAAAAGTAAAGAAGCGGATTGATCGAAATCTACGTCGCAGTCCCCTAAAAATGGCTTGTGAGCTAAAAATATCGCAATATTCCATTCGGCAAATATTGAAAAATGAGCTCAGGGTAAAGCCATTGAAATTCCACAAAAGTGCAAGAACTTACACCGTAACAGAAAAAAAAACAGAAAATAGACTCAAAAGAGGTAAAGAGTTGCTTCGCTTGGCCGAAAGTGGCCGAACTGCCGAATTTGGTTTTCTCCGATGAGAAAACTTTTGTTATCCAGCAGTTTGTACACAAACAAAATGATCGTGTTTACTTGCCAAAGAGGTCAGCTGAAAATGTGCACCTTCGGTTGGCCAACAGAACTCATGCGTCGGCCATGGTGATGGTGTGGGCCGCCATAACAGCCGATGGTCGCTCTCCGCTTGTATTATTCGATGCATCTAAATAAATGTCCAATATTCTAGCGAAAATGTTCTGGAGGATGTATTAAAGCCTTGGGCACGCAAACATTTTGACCGCAGACCTTGGACATTCTAACAGAACTCAACACCATCACACTCAGCACACGCCACCCATGAATGGTTACAAAATTAAGTTTCTCGCTTCATTTCCAGCGCACAATGGCCACCAAAATCTCCGGATACCATTCCGTTGGACTATTATGTCTGGGGTATTTTGGAAAGGAAGGTTGGCACTTAAAAATTTTAAAGTTTCGATCACCTCAAGCAAGCACTTCGCCGGGAATGGGACAAAATACCGCAAAGCAACATTCGGCCAACGTGTTACGGTTTCCTTGGCCGTTTGAAGGCCATAATTCGTGCTAATGGTGACCAATTCGAACAAATCTAAACTTATTCTAAAATTTGATGCTATTTCCGACAATTTTTGTTTTCATTTAATAAAACTTAAAAGAAAAAAATTAAAATTATGGCGTTTGACTTTGTTGCAGTTTTTTTTTTATCTCATCCTGTATTCTTGATCAGCATGAAATTCTATGTCGATTTAGCGATGTCCGTTCGTTTGTCCGTTTATCTGTCTGTGGTAATAACTCTAGCTTCCGAACGAAATGAATAGGTTGATAAAATTTTACTCAAATGTATATTATGTCTGGTATTGGTAATGGGACATGTAGGTCCACGTTTTGGTATAGCCCCCATATAATGGCACCTCCATATTTTTGGTATTTTTATGATTTTAGCCACATTATTACCCAGAATTTTTCAAATGTGGTATATAAAGTTCGTAACGGATACTACAGCCTAAGACAGAAAAAATGTCCATGCAGGTCCACGTCTTCGTATAGCCCCCATATAAATGGTACCTCCCTATTTTCGGCATTTCGGTGATTTTAGCGAAATTATTCACTAGAATTGTTTCGAAATTCCACCTCCATTCGTTCACCCTAAATCAAACTGTTCAACTGTGCTCTATTCCTTCCCCAAATGGTAATTTTTAGACCTTATTTCCTAATCCCCTGCCAAATCCCTTGCCCAAATACCAAATTTAGTTCAATTTTGTACTTTTTAGAACATATTTCCAAAACCACAATTTAAAAACTCAACCCTACGATTCTTTTCAAACTTGGCATATCTAAATTAATAATCTGACGTGGATATGGAATTTACCGCCTCACTCCTTCTCGTACCTTTCCCGCAAAAGTTATATTTGACTTAAAATTATTCAAAAAAAAAAAAAAATATTAATAATAATAATAATGGTTATAGATATCTGATTTACTTCAAATTTTGCACATCTAAATATTTTTGTCAGTATTATATGAGGTGGAATGATTTGGTCCATTATGTCTGGTACCTTAGGCATTTTTTTACATATTCCAAAATTGTTCACATATCTACATAAACTAAAGGAAGAACTCGATATAATAATTTGTGTAGTTCCATAAGATAACCATCTTATAAAAATTGCAATATTGGTAATTACTTCAGAAAATGGGCACTTCTTATTCAGATATTTACAAAAAATCTTCTCCCATTATATCCAAAAATGCATGTCTTTTTGGCTTTAATAAATATTGCAACAATCATTAATAATTATTCTTAACCTTAACCAAACCTTTAATGTAATACATGAGGGTTAAATATGTTTAACTCACCGCCTTAAGGTATGCTTTAAATATTATGATTAATTTGGAATAAACAAGGTATTAACCCATTATGCTACAAACATTTAACTGTTATAAAACGACACATGTATTGAATGTTGGTGTTATATTTACATCTAACGCAAGTTATGAATGTATTTAATTAGTTGTTTTTACATTTGTTTACAACATTTAGAAAGAAACGAGGTAGACTCTAGGTTCCTTTTGGGGATCTTCAAAGAATCATTTTCCGAGTCAATGTATGCATGAATGTCTATCTATCACTATTGAAATTGGTAATAATCGGCTTTTTTATACCCTCCACCATACATAGTATGGAGGGTACATTAAGTTCGCCATTCCGTTTGTAACTCATCGAAATAATAATTTTAGACCCAACAAAGTATATATATTCTTGATCAGCGTAAAATTCGAAGACGATGTAGCCCAGTCCGTCCGTCCATGTGTCCGTCACTATACAGTCAAACCGAATAAATACAGGAAACTAAAATTTTGAATAGATCTGTCATTTGTCTGCAAGCAGGACAAGTTCGAAGATGGGCTATATCGGCCCACGATATCGTATAGGGCCCATATAACGGTACCCCCCGATATTCGGTATTTTGATGATTTTAGCTACATTTTTCAATGGAATTGTCTGAAATTCTACACAAGGACTTCTTTATGAATACTTTACCCCCTGGCAGAGAATTGTCTATATAGGTCCACGATATCGTATATCCCCCATACAACGGGGGGTTTTTGGAACAAATCGAACTTAATACCGTTTTTATTTTCTTACCCTCCACCATACTATGGGGGATATAATAACTTTGTCATTCCATTTGTAACTCCTCGAAATACTCATGTCAGAAGTCTAAGTCGATTTAGCGATGTCCGTCGGTTTGTCTGTCTGTCCGTCTGTCTGTCTGTCTGTCCGTTATAATCACGCTATCTTTCGAACGAATTGAGATAGAAGGATACAATTTTGCACATATGTTTATTTTTTCAGTAGGTAGGTTAAGTTCGTAAATGGGCCATGTATGTAGACGTCTTCATATACCCCCCATATAACGGTACCTCCCGATATTCGGTATTTGGATAATTTTAGCGACATTATTCAGCGGAATTGTTTCAAATTTGGTATTTGAAGTTCGCAAAAATCTAATCTATTTGGATAATTTTAGCGACATAATTCAGCGGAATTGTTTCAAATTTGGTATTTGAAGTTCGCAAAAAATCTAAGACAGAAAATTGTCTGTGCAGGTCCACGTCTTCGTATAGCCCCCATGTAACGGTACCTCCCGACATTCGGTATTTTGATGATTTTAGCGACATTATTCACCGGAATTGTTTCAAATTACCTATTTAGAGTTCGTAATGGGAACTACAGTCTGCGACAGAAAATTGTCTACGCATGTCCAGGTCTTCGTATAGGCCCCATATATCAGTACCTCCCTATATTTGGTATTTTGATGCTTTTAGCGTCATTATTCACCGGATTTTTTTCAAATTACGCATTTAGAGTTCGTGATGCAATTTACAGCCTAAGACAGAAAATTGTCTGTGCAGGTCCCATTCTTCGTATAGGCCCCATTCTTCGTATAGGCCCCATATTTCGGTACCTCCCCATATTCGGTGTTTTGATGAGTTTGGGTACAATACCCACCGAAATTGTTTGAGATGTCGTATTTGACGTTCGTAATGGATGCTACAGCTTATGACAGAAAAAAAGAGATAGGTTCTGGTTTTTATATAGTTCATACAATTTTACGGTTTTTTCATATTCAAATGAATTTCTCCATTTGGTGAAACTCGGTCGGGTATGTATATTTTTCCAATAAATAATTTTTAATATAATTCTTATCGAAGTCATATCACGCACTATATAGCAATGATATTTGGTACTTAAGGTACAAAAACATCTGTTAAATTTGTTAAAAAATCGATTCAGTTCCCAAATTGTGACTATGCTAAAGCCATGATACGCATTCAAATAATGTCCATAGTTGATATGATCTACTCCACATAAATTCCCAATATAAACGTTTTTTTTTTTGTTACTGGAGCTCTAATAACCTTTCCTCACTGGTTAAGGCTTCAAAAACATTTCACATTCGTTATGACAGTTCGGATTGTTCGAAATTAAAAAAAAATGTCTTAAACAAATGTCTATAAAAATATATTTAGATTTCCAAATACTGGAGGATATCTAAAATAATCGTTGGACGGACGGCTTTTAACCTAACTTTGAATATGACTTTAATTTTTCAAAAACCAATTAAATTATATTTAAGGATTTAAAATTTTTCTCATTTGTGAAGTTTTTATGCGGCTGTACAAAATTGAACTTAATACAGTTTTTTTTATTTTTTTTTTTTTTAATTTCAATATATTTTTACAGGTCAGTTATTTAACCCAATTCCATGCAATTTCAATATCAAATTTCAGGCCTGAAAAAAGTGTATTTGGATAACATTGTAACAAATACTGCCACAGTTTGCAAACAAACCTTAGGAAACTGTAACAAAAAAAAAATAAACAACAACAACAAAAACACATCTCTCAATTTAATTAATTAATAATAAATTTTATTCGTTTTTGGATTCGACCATAAAAACCCATTACAACTACATGGACATAATTTAAAAATTAGTAAACAACAAAATAAATTTTGTTTTTGTTTCGTTTTTTTTTTACATTGTTTCGTCTACAAACTAAGTAAAACAATAATAAAAAAATACTAATAAAATTAAATTTCACATTGAAACATAAAAATAAAAATCGTAATAATAAAAAATAAAATTACACAAAGAAAAAAGAGTAGAGGTAGAGGGAGAAGGAGGGAGGGAAAAATACAAATAAAAATTATAAAGAATACTAACGAATAATAAAAAACAATAAAAACGAAATTTCTCTTTTTTTTGTAATAATAAAAACTAAAATAGCAATGCAATAAGGAAAATAGGAAGGAAGGAAGTAAGGAAGCTAGGAAGTAAATAACAAAAATGTGGGGGAAGGAAGGAAACAAAGAAGAAGAAAGAGGACTAATAAATTTCCATATAAATAAGAAAAATATACAAAAAACACAGGAGCAACGTGATTTCGGTGCGTTGGGTTGGGGTGAAGATGGGGGAGGTAAGAGGGGTGTCAAAATGAGTAAATATATTTATATATAAAATAATGAAAACAGGAAGAAAAGCAGACGGGGAAAACATACACACTTACAAACTACTATTATTATTATTATTAGATACTACAAGTAAGCGGGAGAGGGAGGAGGTGGCTGCATGGAATCTTTACTCTGCACAGCCAACCAATTCCACCTCCCATACAGCAATGTATAGCCGGAAATACGCGCATTTACATTTCCGTTTTGTTGTTGGCGTGCTATTGTCGTCGGTGTTGTTGTCGTTGTTGCTGCTGCTGCTTGTCCTTTTTAGAAAAAGACAAATTTGAATAATTGATAGAGAATGAAAAATGTCAGCGAATAAATCACAAACAATGTGGTGTAGTGTAGAATTTTCAAACTGTAACGAGAAAAAGAGAATATTTTTTTTTATTAGAAAATCAAAAGCGAAAATTGAAATTGGAATTTTGAAATATATCTTCAAATTATTGAAAACAATGAACAATAATGGCAAGATGTTGACGCTATTAGGGGAAAAATGGGAAATTTCAATAACAAAGGAACAGAGAGAAGAAGCAGGATGGAATGGCCGGTGCTATAAATCAAAAGGATGGAATGTTGGAAAATCGTCAAAAAATATAATTTTAAAATTTTTTAATAAAAAAAAAACAAAAATTATTAAAGAATATTTTTGGATATTTTTTCTGAAATTAATTTAGCGGGCATTAAATTCAGATTTTTCTGTTCCTTTTTTGGAGGACCTGAAATTATATATTTTATGGAATACTAGCAAGTGCCCCTAACTTCGACAGCGAAGAGTCCACCATAAAACGCATAGTTTGTTCAGTTGACAATTTTTTTATCAAAACTTATACCGTACCGCATATACCGTACTAAATTTTCATACTTTTAAGGTTTCATATACAGGGTGAGATAAAAAACTGCTACAAAGTCAAACGCCATATTTTTTACATTTTTTTTAATTTTATTTCAAAAAATGTCGAAAATAGCATCGAATTTTAAAATAATTTTAGATTTGTTCGAATTGGTCACCTTTATCACGAATTATGGCCTACGGCCAATGAAACCGTCACAAGCCGATCGAATGTTGCTCTGCAGTATTTTGGGCCATTCCCGGCGAAGCGATTGCTTGAGGTGATTAACACTTTGGTATTTTTTAGTGCCAACCTTGATTTCCAAAATACTCCAGACACAGTCCGTTGGGGATTGGTATCCGGAGATTTTGGTGGTGATTATGCGCTGGAAATGAAGCGAGGAACCTCATTTTGTAACCATTCTTGGGTGGCACGTGCTGAGGCCTGTTGGAATGTCCAAGGTCTGCGGCCAAAATGTTTGAGTGCCCAAGGCTCTAATACACCCTCCAGAATATTTTCGCAACAATATTCGGCATTTATTCTGATGCCACCCACGGTCGATTAATTTAAGTGGAGAGCGACCATCTGCTGTTATATCAGCCCACACCATCACCATGGCCGGCGATTGAGTTCTGGTGGACAACCGAGGGTGCACATTTTCAACTGACCTCTTTGGCAAGTAAACCCGATAATTTTGTTTGTTTACAAACTGCTGGACAAGGAATTTTTCTCTTTGGGGAAAACAAAAACCAAATTCGGCAGTTCACCACTTTCGGCCATGCGAAGCAACTCTTTAGCTCTTTTGAGTCTATTTTCTGTTCTTTCTGTTGCGGTGTAAGCTCTTGCACTTTTTGGAATTTCATTGGCTTTACCCCGAGCTCATTTTTCAATATTTGCCGAATGGAATATTGCGATATGTTCAGCTCACGTGCCATTTTTCGGCCACTGCGACGCGGGTTTCGATCAAGTTGCTTTTTTATTTTCGAACCATTTCTGCTGAATTTGCTGTTTCTTCCGTTCACTTCCTTGATGTCGGGCTACGCTACCAGCATCACGGTAACGAACAATGGTAAGAGACACAAAAGATTTATTCACATTTAAATGCCGGAGTGCTCTAACGATAGCCACTCGTGGTTTTCCAGCCAAACATAAAGAAATCACACTATCAAGCTTGAACTCCATTACGAATAACTTTATTTCTGGAAAATTCTCACCAAAATGCTTTTGTACGGTTGTAAACAATATAATGAGCTGTCACTGGAATAATTTTAATAGCTGTCGGATGACTGGCCTGGAAAAGACAGCAGTCTAAAGTTGGTTGCAGTTTTTTCATCTCACCCTGTAATTTTCAAGTTTTTCCTCTTTCGAAAAGAATAATAGGAAAATGGAAATTTGTAAATGGAAATTGCACAATGGACCCACTCCCAATTTTTCTGCTCAAAACTACTTCACTGCTTCCGAAATTCCGAATTTCAGTCCCCCAAACATTAATTCCATTTAATACTTTTCGTACAATTTTTGCACACTTTTCCAAAACCTCTTCCATATCTCTTACCCCAATACCTAGGGAGACATCAATGAATAATGTCAGAATTTTATCTCTTATCCCTTCACCCAGTACCAAATTTGGTACCATTTAAGAATTTTCGTACAATTATTGTACACATTTTAAAACTGCCTCCATATCTTAATTTCAGATATCAACAGATATCTCAATATCAAATTTGAGGATTCCAGCTCTATCCCTCCTACCCAATACCAAATTTAGTACTATGTAGTACTGTTCGTACAAATATGGAAGGCATTTCCAAACCACCTCTATATCTTAGCCACAGACACTAACCGAGACATTTGTATTAAATTTTAGAATTTTAGGTCTATCCCATCACCCAATACCAAATTTGGTACCATTTAGTACTTTTCGTACTAATTTAGACGCATTTCCAACTCTCCGCCAAATCTCGAACACAGATGCCATCAGGAATCTAAATATCAAATTTCAGAATTGTACCATATTTCGGGTTTTAATAAGCCCCAATACTGTTCATCCAATACCAAATTGTACCAAATATAGTACTATTTAGTACTTTACGTGCACTCGTAGTACTCATTTCCAAAACCAATTTTATATTACAAACCTACCACTAACAGGGACCACAATACAAAATTTCTGCTTCATCCATTTACCCTACCCCAAATTTTGTACAATTGAGTACTTTTCGTAAAATTATAGTACACATTTCCAAAACCAGCCATATCTCTCAATTTCAGATACCAACAATTTCAGAGACCTCAATATTACATTTGGGGATTCCAGACCTATCACCCAATATTAAATTTAGTACATTTCAGTACTTTTCGTACTATTACACATTACACACATTTCCAAAATAAGCTCCATAACTCAACCATCGATACCAACAGTGACTTCAATATCAAAATTTGGGATTTCGTTCCTATCCCTTTACCCAATACCAAATATTGCACCATTTATTACTTTTCGTACAATTATAGTACACATTTCCCAAACCACCTCCATAAGTCCAGGCACATGGACAGCCACGTTAAATTCCAAATTTCAGATTTCAAGCTCTATCTTTTTACCCAACTGAAAATTGTACCAAATATAGTACTATTTAGTTCTTATTGAGAACTTTTAGTACAAATTTTCAAAACCACCTCCATATTTTAACCACAGACACCAATGGAGACCTCAATATGAAATTTGAGGATTCCAGCCCTATCCCCTCAACCAATATCAAATTTAGTACCATTTAGTACTTATCGTACAAATATAGGACGCGTATCCGAACCACTGCCAAATCTCAAATACAAATACCTGCAGTAATCTAAATATCAAATTTCGAGATTCCAGCCCTTTCCCTGCACCCAATATGAAATATAGTACAATTCAGTACTTTTCGTACAATTATAGTACACACTTCCGATACTACCTCTATATGTCCAGGCCACACATGAACAGCGACCCTAATACCAAATTTCAGATTTTAAGCACCATCTGTTCACCCAATACAAAATTGTTATAAAAATAGTACTGTTTACTATATTTCGTACAATTATAGTCCGAAACCACCTTCATATCTCAATTCCAGATGCCCAAAAGAAACCTCCATATCAAATTAGAGGATTCTAGGCCAGTCCCTTCACCCAATACAAAATTTAGTACAATTTGGTACTTGTCAGTAATTCAACTATCAAAGTTCAGAATTTTATCACCCAATACCAAATTTAGTACCATTTAGTACTTTTCGTACAAATATAGGACTCATTTCCGAACCACCGCCAATTCACAAACACAAATACCAGCAGTAATCTAATTATCAAATTTCGGGATTCCAGCCCGAACGCTTCACCCAATACCAAATATAGTACAATTCAGTACATTTCGTACAAATATAGTACACATTTCCGATACTACCTCTATATGTCCAGGCCACACATGAACAGCAAATTTCCGATTTTAAGCACTATCTTTTCGCCCAATACCAAATTCTTCTCAAAATAGTACTGTTTACTATATTTCGGACAATTATAGTACGCATTCCCAAACCACCTTCATATCTCAATTCCAGATGCCCAAAAGAAACCTCAATATTAAATTTGAGGATTCTAGGCCAGTTCCTTCACCCAATACAACATTTAGTACCATTTAGTACATTTCGTACAAATATAGAACGCATTTCCGAACCGCCGCCAAATCTCAAACACAGATACCAGCATTAATCGTAATATAAAATTTCGGGATTGCAGCCCGATCCCTTCACCTAATACTAAATATAATACATTTCAGTACTTTTCGTACAATTATAGTACACACTTCCGATACTACTTCTATATGTCCAGGCCACACATGAACCCTAGTAATGACCCTAACAATAAATTTCAGATTTTAAGCACTATCTGTTCACCCAATATCAAATTGTACCAAATATAGTACTCATTAGTATTTTTGTGTGTTTTTAGTACGAATTTTCAAAACCACCTCCGTATCACAAACATATCACTAACAGGGACCCCAATGCAAAATTTAAAAATTCTAACTTCACCCGTTCACCCTAAACCCAATTCGACCAATTGTAGTACTATTTAAAACAGTTCGCACACTTAGTACCCATTTCCAAAAACCACCTTCATATAACAAACTTGCTTTCCAAACATGATTCTCCTAACAAATTTCAAGTTTTTTAGCTTTGCTCTTCACATAATACCATATGGTGCCATTTTTTCGAAGTTTAGTACTATTTCAGAACTTTTCGTTACAATTTCCAAAAACCCTTTGGTACATCTATCTTGCACTCCATCAGTGATCCTTATCGTAATTTCTATTCTCAGATCTAGCTCCATTTGACCAATACAAGGTATTCATTTTTTGGTACATTTTAGTACTTTTCGTACCCTTTCGGTACAACTCTTCAAAAACCCAGCCTTATCACCTGACCCTCGTGAAAAAATTTCATGATTCTAGTTTCAGTCGCTCAGACTGGGCGTTAATTCTCAGTCAGTAAGTCAATCAGACATTTTAGTACTTTTCGTACCCTTTTAGTTCGAATTTCCAAAAATCCAGCCTTATAACAAGCTTACGCACCAAGACTGAACCTCGTACAAAATTTCAAGCATATAGCTTCAGAAGTTTCGTCTGGGCTTTGATTCTCATTTAGTGAGTCAGAGATTACAAATATTTTTTTAAGGTTGACTTTAGGCCCACAATCGGTCGTATTTTAAGGATATTTGTGCATCAGTGATGACATAAAGTAATTTTTACAAATTCCTAAAAAAAGGGTACCCTTCGAAATTCTTGTCCCTAAATTACAGATGGGAATTCGTAAATAATTTCAACCACTTTTACAGGCATATTACTTCAACTCCAATTCAGTTTTCACTGGCATCACTGTACGATCCCCAAAACCAAGTAGAGCGTACACCATTGCCATTATCATCATCATCATCATCCTCCACCACTTCATTATTACTATCATCCTGCAGTTCGTTTTTCGGGGAATTTCATTTGACTCTTTTTTGCAAAAAAGAAAAACTTACCGTTCATGTCGCTTCACCGATTCGGCCACAGTACTGGGTTCATCCTTCACCACATAGGATCGCAGGCCCCACAAGCTAATGCGAAACAGTTCAGTCCAATCGACGGACCGCATATCGAAGGCAAACAAACGTTTATCCTTCGCATCCAATTTGTCCCAGAGTGCTCGCACATTGTTGTTTTCGAATATGAATTCATTCGATGAGAAATATTCCATCACAGCGCAAAATTTGTGGATTTTGCGATACATTTTCATCATTCTGAAAAAGGGAGGGAAGGGGAAAATGAAAAACAAAACGAAAAAAAAACAAACAAACACATAGAGAGATATGATAAAAACAAGTTAGCCATGAGATTACACCAGGCACAGCACAGCACAACATCAATAGCTACAGCTATCGATGAAAACAAAAAAAATCCAGTTTTGGAAACAGCTAAACAAAGCACAATCAGCCGCGAAAAGCCAAATATTTGATCAAGAATATGGAGGGCAGCAAAACCGAGCAAAAAAGAAAAATCGAAAACAAAGTAACCAACAACGTATGCAAAAGCTAAAGGCCCCCAAAATATGCCATAGCCAAACGCAGGCACACAAACAACACACACACACACATATTTTCGGGGCGCTAGCCACACACAAATTTTAGGAAATCCTCCCACATTTCCCAACAACCCACCCACCACTTGAATAATTTGAAATTCATGATAACTATCGGAGATTTAGTATTAGCGTAACGAAACAATGAAGAGAGGGAGAGCGAGGAATTGATAATCAATTGCATGGTTTGGCAGAGACGAAATGTTTGGGAGCTACAGCTCGAGGTTAAAGGATAAAATCTATGATTCTCTTAAAAGAAGAATAGATAAGGATCGGCTCTTTAAAAGAGACCTAGAAAAGCTCATATGTCTTAGGAAGCTTTTTTTTGGTCAAAGAAATATTGCCATCACTGAAGTAACAGAGGGGTGAAAGGATTATATAAAGAATTGGGAAATAGACTTCTGTCCTAGACAAATAAAAGTATTGACTAAAATGTTGCCTCATCTGTCATCTTCGAAAAAAGTGCTTCAATAAATGTCGTTCATGCTGTGAGAGAGCTTAATCTATTCACTCAATTCTCTCAATGGAAAATATTTTAAATATTTTTATTTTTAAGTCGTGAAATTTAAAAATCTACTGCTCAAACAGCAGAATTTATTTGGAAGTCGAGTGACTTTATTAGTCCTGGGTGACTATACTGTCCCAATGATTAACTATGGGTCCCAATGATCAACCTCTATGGGTCAACATTTAAACTTTTTGGTCTACACCTTTATTTGTCTATGCTTCTGTCTATAGATGAGCTCTTTGAAGATTACCTTTCCACACTTCCTGCCGAAGTCCACTAGCCACAGAAGAGTTTCAAAAAGTATACTATCCTCAGAAAAATTGGGAAAGTCTTCTAGAAAAGCTATTAACGTTATTGAGGTTATGGAAGATTACCTATCCACAGAACATCCTCAGTAGAGCTTCAAGGAGCATTCTGTCCACAGAAAAGCTTTAAAAGTTCTATTCGCCGAAGCAAAAGAAGGTAGGAAGAGCTTTAGAGGATTTGCTATCAACAGAAGAGCTTCCAATATTCTTCTGCTTACAACAAAGGCTTAAAAGGTATTTTGTCGGCAGAAAAAACTTGAAGAAGTCTCTGCCTACAAAAGAACTTTAAATACTCTTGTTTTCACAAAAAAGCCTTAAAGGGTACTGTCTTCACCGAAGATCTAATTAGGGTACTCTGTCCTTAAACTGTGGCAAAGCTAAAAGCTCTACTGTTCTCAAAAAATTTTTGAAAGGACTTCTCAGCACAGAATATCCATAGATGGTCTTTTGTCTAAAAAAGGTCTCTGTTTACAGGGAAACTTTAAAGGATCGTTTGGCTACAGAAGAGCTTTGAAAGTTCTTCTATCCACTGAATAATTTTATAGGAACTTATGGTTAAAATAATAGATCCTCGGTGCCGAGAAGTACTTTTCTCATGTTCAGAGTAAAACTCCAGCAGCCAATCTGTCATCAGAAAGGCCTTAAAATCGTTTCCGTACACACAGAAAGTCTTTAAGCGACAGAACAGCATTTAAAGGTCACAAGGGGGCCATAAGAGGTAATCTGTGCACAAAATGAATTAGAAGAGCTTCAACAGGTCATTTTTCTTCAAAAGAGCTTTAAATTCGCTCCAGTCCTTAGGAAATCTCTAAATAGAAGAACAGCTTTAAAAAGTCGCCGAAGAGCTTTAAGAGGTCTTCTGTCCACAAATTGACTTTAAGGAAGTAATTTAACAGGTCGACTGTCAGCAGTACAGCTTGAAGAGGTCTTTTGTTCACAAACTCACAATGTATGCATTATAGGTTATACGTTTATGTTCGAGGCTGCCGTTGGCTGGGTTAAAGTGTCTTCTGGCCATAATAGAGCTCTAATAGGTCTGCATAACTGTAAAATGTATTCTCTTCTCAGAGGTTTTCTTCAAGGAGAGGTTTTGCTTCCAGAAGAGTTCAAATGGATATGGAGATATCAAAGATCTGTAGAAGGTATTTTAAAGGTCTTCTCTCTCAGTAAGGGATTTTCGGAAAGCCTTCTTTTCAAAAGGCAATATTTTCAGTGCGTCTTGTCCCAATCCAAGGGACAAGTCAAAAATAGAGCTTAAAGTGGTCTCTTGTCCACGAACTCACAATGTATGCATTAGTAGTGGTGAGAGTACCTCTCGTCCTGTCAAATCAATGGCAAATGAAAGTCGAGAGAAAATACGTATACTTTTGTATACGTTTTCGTTCGAGGCTGCCGTTGGCTGGGTTAAAGTGTCTTTTGGCCATAATAGAGCTTTAATAGGTCTGCATAACTGTAAAATGTATTCTCTTCTCAGAGAAGCGTCGGAGAGTCATTTTTTTTTTTCAAGGAGAGATTTTGCTTCCAGAAGAGTTCAAATGGATATGGAGATATCAAAAATCTTTAGAAGATATTTTAAAGGTCTTCTCTCTCAGTACGGGACTTTCGGAAAGCCTTTCCTTCCAAAGGCAATATTTTCAGTGCGTCTTGTCCCAATCCAAGGGACAAGTCAACAATAGAGCTTGAAGAGGTCTTTTGTTCACAAACTCACAATGTATACATTAGTAGTGGTGAGAGTACCTATTGTCCTGTCAAATCAGTGGCAAATGAAAATCGAGAGAGAATACGTTTACTTTTTTATGCGTTTACGTTCGAGGCTGCCGTTGTGCCGAAGTGTAAAATGTATTCTCTTCTCAGAGAAGCGTTGGAGAGTATTTTTTTCAAGGAGAGGTTTTTCTTCCAGAAGAGTTCAAATGGAGATATCAAAGATCTGTGGAAGGTATTTTAAATGTCTTCTCTCTCAGTAGGAGAATTTTGGAAAGCCTTCCCTTTAAAAAGGAAACTTTTTCAGCAGGTCTTGTCCCAATCCATGCCTTTTAATTAAGTTTTTTTTTTCAGGAGAAATCTCCTTGACGGACCTTCTTTAAAGGGAAGTTCTTTAAAAGTAATTTTTAAATCTAAAAGGTTTTTTTTTCAATAAAATATTTCTGCGAAATTTTTTTCAAAGTTCTTCCAAAAAAGGCCTTCTAAATCGTTTCTATTGAAGAAGATTTTCTTAAGTCCCTTCTTCAGTAGCAACAATTTTTAAATTTATTTTCTTTAGAAGACTATGTAAAGGTTCTTCTCCATTGAAGTTACTTTTTTGAGCAATAAGAGCTTTAAGAGGCCTTCTTTCTACAGAAAGATCTTCTAGCACAAAGGAGCTTTTTATGGGATTTAAAGGGTCTTCTGACCACAAAAGTGCTTTAATATATTTCCAGATATGAAAAACGTATTCTCTGAACAGAAGAGCATCGAAAGATTCTTTCAAGGGACGTTATGTTTTCAGGTGAGTTTAAATGGGTGTATCCATCGAAAATTTGTAAAAGGTTTTTTCACTCCGTAGGAGACCTTTGGAAAGCCTTCCCTTTCAAAAGGAAACATTTTCAGTGGATCTTGTCCCAATCCAAGGCCTTTTAATTAATTTTTTTTTTTCAGGAGAAATCTCCTTGACGGGGCTTCTTTAAAGGGAAGTTCTTTAAGAGGAATTTTTAAATCTAAAAGTTTTTTTTAATGGACTATTTGTAAGAAATTTTCTATTGAAAGTCCTTCGAAAGAAGGCCTTGTAAATCGTTTCTATTGAAGAAGATTTTCTGAAGTCCCTTCTTCAGTAGCAGCAATTTTGAAATTAATTTTCTTTAGAAGACTATGTAAAGGTTCTTCTCCATTAAAGTTACTTTTTTGAGCAATAAGAGCTTTAAGAGGCCTTCGTTCCCCAAGAAGGTTCATCTAGCAAAAAGAATAGCTTTTTATGGGATTTAAATGGTCTTCTGACCACAAAAGAGCCTTAATATATTTCCAGATATGAAAAACGTATTCTCTTTCCAGAAGAGCATCGAAATATCTTTTTCTTTCAAGGGGAGGTTATGTTTCCAGAGGAATTTAAATGGATGTATTCATCGGAAATTTGTAAAAGGGTTTCTCTCTACAAAGGAAAAGTTTTAAGCGGGCACTTCAAAGGCATTTTAATTAACTATATTTTTCGGGAGAAGTCCCATGAGGGGCTTCTGTCAGGGGAATGTCTTTAAGAAGAATTTTTAATTCTAAAAGGTTTTTTTTTCCAATAGAAGAGTTTTAATGGATATGGAGATATCGAAGATCTGTAGACGGTATTCTAAAGGTCTTCTCTCTCAGTAGGAGACCTTTGGAAAGCCTCCTCTTTCATAAGAAAAAGTTTCTCAGTGGGCATTTCGAAGGCATTTTAATTAATTACATATTTTTCGGGAGAAGTCTCCTGAGTGGCCTTCTGTCAGGGAAAGGTGTTTGAGAGGAATTTTTAATTCTAAAAGGTTTTTTTCAATAGAAGAGTTTTAATGTATATGGTGATATTCGACGATCTGTAGAAGGTATTTTAAAGGTTTTCTCACTCCGTAGGAGATCTTTGGAAAGCCTTCCCTTTCATAAGAAAATGTTTGCAGTGGGATTTGTCCCAGTCAAAGGCATTTTAAATTAGTTTTTTCCAGTGGAAGCTTTTTTGAGAGATATTTTCAATTCTGTTGATCTCCTCATTAGAATATTTTTAAGATTTTTTTCTATAGAGAAAGTTTATCCTAAGACTTCTTAAGAATATTTTTTGTAATGGATTTTAGAAGAAGACTTTGTGAAGTAGCAGAAATTTTGAAATATATCTTCTATAGATGATTATTCGAAGATCTTTCTACTTTGAAAATATTTTAAAGGGTATTTTCCTTTAAAAGACATTTTAAAATTTTTTCTAAAGAATTCTATTTAAATATTTTTTTCTAAAGAAGAAATTTTGAAAAGTATTTTTTATGGAAAATTTTTTGAAAGGCCTTCTTCTACGGAAGGCCTTTGGTAGGACTCCTTCTATAGGAAAGCCTTCTTGTACAGAATACCATCTGAACGATTTTCTTCCATAGAAAATATTTCATATTCTTGTTCTTATAGAAGGCATTGGAATAGGGCAGAAGAGCCGGTGAAGACATAAAAGAAGACCTATTAAAAGCTCCCTTCTATTGTAGGAAGACCCTGCGTATAAACCCATCAATAAACAAATAATATCAACACAAAAATATCCTTCAACAAAAAAAGAATAACAAAAACAACAACAAGAGCCACAAAAAGGGTTAATCAAAATTCATTGAAAGCATGACCAAATATGAATGGTTGGCCCATAGTTTGGATGGCATTGTGGAATATGCAATGATGCCTGATGGCTTGGTTCGGCTGGTTGGTTGGATGGGTCTATTGCTTTTAGCTGAGCTTTATCTTTTTTTGCCTTTGTTTTGATTTTGTTTTCATTTTTGAGGTTATGCTTTTGATTTAAGTTTTTTTTTTCGTGCTGGCCTTTGTTTGATTACTTCGAGGTTTTTTTTCGCTTTTGTCGTTTTGGCTTCGATCAAACATTTACCTCGATTCTGGTGCGAATAATATCTTACCTGGGTTTCTTGCCAATAACCAACATTAACATATCCATAAACAGGGCGGGTAAGGTGTGATACAAGAATGACAGCAGGGCGAATTGCCATTTGGAGCTGACAATGGTGAAGCAAGGATACCAGATGGATTTGCGCAACGGCAACTTGCGGCCATATTCAATGGCATATTCCATGAATTCGCGCCAGCTGGCAATGTTATCCGGGTCGGGTATGTAATTGTAGATTGGTGGGGTGTCGTAACTGTAAAACGTGGAAATAAAATAAAAATTTATATATTTTGAGGTTGGAGGTTACTCTTCAAGACTCACGTATTTCTGGCTATATCCCAGGCACTGGTCAACAGGGCATTTACACACAAATCCACCGGGACCATGTTGGCCTTATTCTGCACCTTGCCGCTGAAAATGCGCATGACACCCGAACCTACGCCCACAATAATGCCACAGGGTCCATACATGTTGTCGATCCAACCGGAGACGGGTTCACGGTAGGTAGTGACAACTAAAAAAATCAAAAACCTGTAAAAATTGCTTTAAAAAAGAAATCCCACCTCGAACCCTCACCTATGCCTGGACGGATTATGGTAACTGGCAAATTCTGTCCATAATTCTGTATGATATCCTCAGCCAAGACCTTGGTAAAAGCATAGGTATTGGGGAAGTCCTTGACAATGGTCGGTGTCAGGGTGTTCAATGTCTGCTCATCCAGGCACTCGCTCAGCTGCAGAGCCTTATCACCCGACAAGGTACAATTATAGAATCTCTCCTGAATGTGTTTACGATTGCAATGGGCAAAAGCCGTGGAGACATGAACCACAGCCTTGAGATGTACCACTTCCTTCGCTAAACGCAAAATTTCCTTGGTGCCATTCACATTGATGCCAATAGCCATTTTTAGCTTCTCATCAAATCGCACTGTGGCAGCACCATGTATAATTATGTTCACCTGTTCCTTGAGCAACTCACGATCTTCGTGGGAGATACCCAGCGCAGGGAGGGAGACATCACCACTGATGACGGTGATCTTCTCGCGATAGTTTGGTGTGATTTTCTTGAGTTTCTCAAAGACCTGGGGGAAAGAGAGGGAGAGAGAGAGACGAGAACATAATGAGCAGAGATGGTCCGAATAGGAAAATTTTAGGTTTTCGACTGTAACAAAGTTGTAAACGTCGAAAACGTCATAAAGCTGTATAAAAAGTATGAAATGTATTTAACGTCATAAACCTGAAAAATGCTGTGTTATAATCATTATTATGGTCAATTTCTCAAGCTCTTGTTACTAAAAAGATTCAGTAAGTTTTTATACATAATTTACTTTGTTAAAAATAATTTATTTAAAATAATTGGAAAACTTTGAATTTGTATGAAATAAATTTCAAATGTATATTGCTGATAGTACCCACGATACTATATAATCACAACTTATATAATATGAATACATGTAAGATTCTCAAAATTTAGACTTTTATAAAATCTACTTTTTGTGATCTTGATGTTTTTTAAATAAAACATTTAAATTTAATTAAAGGAATCATAAAATATACAAAATACATAGCACGCCATCTACAAAATGTCGCGTATACTGCTTGATGTGTTTTTCATTGCATTTGTGCATGTTGACAAATTGAACTTACATATGTCAACCAAAAAACGCCAAAAACAAATTAGTTTGAGCGGGAGATAAAACTACTTTTCAACAATTACAAAATATTATATATTTTAAAATGTTAAAAAGTCCGAGTGATGAACAACAACCAGAGGGGTTTGGACAAAGTTCTGGAGCAACCGGTGGTAGGCCCCTTCATCCATATTGGTACGGATATACAAAAATAAGTGAACGAGGAAAAGCTATTGCCCAGTGCAATAGGTGCAAGCAATTAATCCGCAACACGGCTATTAACAGAATGCAGTCACATCGGTAAGTACTCAATATTAATATTAACACAATGATTATTTATAAATGCGTTTTTGGATTTTTAGGAAAAAATGCAATGTTGAACAGATTGACGAGGACAACGAAAGTGATTTACTTGAAGCGGGCATATCCCAAAAAAATGTAAGCATGAATTCGTTTTCAATTTACATGTATTAAAATATCACTATTACTTTCAGTTGTCATGTACACAGACATCAAATACTCAAACTACTATTAAGGATTTTTTTCGTAAAATCAGCAAGAAAGACAAAGCTCAACTCGACATTCGTACTGCCAGATTTTTTTTTGCTTGTAACATTCCTTTTGTTGCAGCAGGTAATCAATTCTTCAAAGATTTTTGCAAAGGAATGCAACCATCGTACAAACCACCAAGCAGAAAAAGGATAGCTGGACCACTATTGGATGCAGTGCATAAGGAGCAAATCGATTTGAATGCGAAATTTTTAAAAGAAGGTACATATTCCGTACTTCTTATTGACGGATGGAAAAATTCAGCATCAAACACAAAAAATGTCGCAGCATTACTGCACAACTGTGATCACAGAATTTTTTTGGAATCTTACGACTTTTCATACATGAGAGAAACTTCAGAAAATCTCACTGAAATGGTGAAGAAAGCTGCCAGTTTAGCCAAAGATCGATACAAAGTTGAAGTTTTCGCTGTAGTCACAGATAATGCTGCCAATATGGTATCAATGGGCCGGAATGTTGGGCTGATTCATACAACGTGTAATGCCCACATCGGCAATTTGCTATCCAAAGATATCATCAAGAATTTTGGTATTCGTTTCGAGTTAAATTATCTTTGTGCGACTGGGAATAGCCAGAGGCGATCTACGCGGCTACAGTCTCAACAAAACGATGATGTATTCGGTATGTTGGAGGACGAAGTTACTGAAAACTCTTCAATACTTGGAAAAGTACATAAAATTCTTAATGAATTTAAAAAAGTACATATTGAAAGAAAGTTGTCAATGCTTGGAGGAACCAAAGCGAAGTTACCATGTGCAACAAGATGGTGCAGTGAGCGTGATGGACTTTTTTGGTTGATAAACAACATTTCCAAAATGAAGCAAATATCTGCAGAAACTAACACTGATGGAAAACCCTTGGTCAAATCCTATATAAGTGAGTTGCTCTATAAGGAGGACTTTATTCAATCCGTTAAGGAACTATTTGATCTTTTGAATCCTGTAGCTTTACTTATAAAAAACTGTCAAAAGTCTGAGTATTCTATAGCTGATGCAACAGAAGAATGGATAAAATTGCTTACTACGGCAAAACCAGAATTATATGAAGTGGCGGCAGAAAGATGTAGAATCAGTAAAGTCTTTAATAAATATAACCTCGCAGCAAATGTTTTGCATCCGCTATATAAGGGTGGAAGGCTGAACCCAGAGCAAATGCAAAAAGTTGAAGACTTTTTACTGGAAAATCTTGATGAACATGGATTACAATCATTTTCAGAATACAAAAATGCGGCAGGATTTTTTGCCTTACTTTTGGAAAAAACATCCAAACCTGGGCTATTCTGGGAATTGGCTGCAAATAGACACAAATCATTAGCGACATTTGCACAAAATTGCTCATGATACCAGCTTCAACAGCTCAGCTGGAGGGTATTTTTTCAAATTGGACACATGTTCATACCGATTTGAGGAACAGATTAGACTCAGAACGTTCTAAGAAATTGTTAGAAGTTTATTTTTCTTTAAGAATAAATGAAACAAAAGACGTCTCGCAGTATATAGAGGATACTGATTCCAGCGAAAACGAAAATTAAACGAAACAAATTACAAAATAATTTGTAATAACAGTATGTACCTGCTTAGAGGCCTTTGATTTTAAATGTAATTTAAATGAATTATTTAAGTTTGTTATGTTTTTGTATTTCCTGTTTAATAAAACAAATATTTTAAAGAAAAACTGAATTGGATTTTAAGAGACAAATGTGTTTTTTATTTCTTTCCTATTTTTGTCAAAAACCTTGTTTTATCGGGTAGGTTTACGACTTTTCCGACGTATGTAATATACGTCGGAAATGTATGTCAGATACGTCATAATTTCCGACGGGCCATCTATGATAATGAGAGAAGGAGAGAGGCAAAATAAAGGGTAGGTACTTGTCCACCTTTTTGGATAAAATTATCCACATTTGTGGATAAAATTATCCATGGTTGCGGATAAAAATATCCACAGTTGTTGGTAAAATTATCCACAGTTGTGGATAAAATTATCCACATTTATGGATAAAATTATCCACATTTGTGGATAAAATCATCCACGACTGTGGATAAAATTATCCGCGTTTGTGGAAACAATTATCCACACTTGCGGATAAAATTGTCCACGTTTGTGGATAAAGTTTTCCACTATAGTGGATAAAATTATCCACATTTGTGGATAAAATCATCCACGACTGTGGACAAAGTTATCCGCGTTTGTGGATAATTTTATCCACGTTTGTGGATAAAGTTATCCACATTTGCGGATAAAATTATCAGCATTTGTGGATAAAATTATCGACTATTGTGGATAAAGTTATCGACTATTGTGGATAAAATTATCCACATTTGTGGATAAAATTATGCACATTTGTGGATAAAATTATCCACATTTATGGATAAAATTATCCACGTTTGTGGATAAAGTTATCCAATTTTGTGAATAAAATTATTCAATTTTGTGGATAAAAATATCGACTTTGGTGGATAAAATTATCCACCACACCCTTTCTTCCAGTTAAATAAAAATATTCTTGAATTACCCCCCATCCCGCTACTTACCGGTTCATTGAAGATATCATCGAGACGTGTCTGTACGTCTTTACCCTTTTTGGTGCGGATCAGCAGGAAAATTTGTCCCACATCGGTAACGCGTAATAATTTTTCAATTATAACTGCAAGATGAAAAAAAAATCCAGCAATTAAATCATTACCACTAAGAACATCCGTCGGGGGAATTCCAAAGGATATTCAACCCCAAAGAGCCACTTTACCGCACACAACATCCCTGCTCTGACATTGTGTCTGGTATTAAGCCACTTGGTAAAACGGGAGAGTGGGCGTACTCCTCCTCCCCCTCCTCAAAATGAATTAAAAGGGTATTACTTACTTTTACCAAAGAAGCCGGTGCCGCCTGTCAGGAATACCCCCTTGTCCTTGTAGAACATTTGCATGGGTGATTCTGTAACGAAAATGGAGGGAAAGGGTACGATACTTTAATATTAAATCGCAATCGAAAGAAATGCCATTAAAATAAGATTTATTTATGGGAAGTCAATATGAAAGTATTTAAATATTTCCAACCAGGGGGTGGGGGAACCCCTTTTCTACCCCTCATCACGCATTTAACGTAAATTCCTTAGCCATCAGCGACAGCTTCTATAATCCTCGGGTTTTTGAGGGTTAACACCAATGTTTCGTCATTGTTTGTGAAGTGTTGCGACAATACCTACCCTCCCCCATGTTATGTCCCTTCACTAGCGGGCGCCCAATTTCGTGCTCTACCCTTCCTTAAATATTTTTTCCTTTTGTTTTTCTTCTTCTTCTTGAGAATTCTTCTCAAGTACTTTAAGCGGTACCAATGAAATATTCGTTATTTACATAAATTATCATATTTTTTTCTTCACCTTGCTTCGCTTCTCTCCTCTCCTTTACTTTTGTTTTCACTTGACTAAGCTCTTTTTGGACTTCGTGGTTTATGTACTTGATAGCGTCAATACAAGGAGCAATACTCACACCACACCACAATATGATCATTATTTACTCCAAAAGGACAATGTGAGGAAGAAAATTATATTCATGGTGAAAAAATTGACACCCTACAACGGGAAGGACCAACAGCCAATTAAACGTGGCTTTCTTTAAAGAATATTATAAATAAAGGCCAAACAAACGTGGAGTTTAAAAAAAAATCAAGGACCCAATAAACGTGGATTGTTTAAAATATAGTTTTTAAGGATTTATGGAAAAAAAGTGGATTTAAAGAAAATATTTTTTAAGGACCAAATAAATGTGAAATATATTTTCCAACAACTAAATAATCGTGGATTTTTTAAAAATTATTTACGAATATTGGTTTACGAAACTTTGTTTTTTACAAATATTTTTTTAAAGACCAACAGACCTCTATACATGAATTTCATAAAAAAAAATGTTTTAAGGACCAATGTTAACTTGGATTTTTTGAAGAATTTTTCTTTCAAGAACCAAATAAACGATCTACTAAACGTGGATTTTTTTAAAAAATTATTTTCAAGGACCAAATAAACGTGGATTTTTTTTTAAATATTTTTCAAGGACCAAATAAACGTGGATTGTTTTAAAAAATATTTTTCAAGGACCATATAAACGTGGATTTTTTTAAGAATATATTTCCAACAAATAAATAAACGTGGATTTTTTTAACAAAAATATTGTTTAAGGACCATATAAACGTGGATTTTTTTAAGAATATATTTCCAACAAATAAATAAACGTGGATTTTCTAAAAAAAAATATTTTTGCCAACGACTCTATAATCGTATATTTTTTAATAATATTTTTTCAAGGACCAACAGGATCAACAAATAAATAAACGTGGATTTTCTAAAAAAAAATATTTTTGCCAACGACTCTATAATCGTCTATTTTTTAATAATATTTTTTCAAGGACCAAGAGAACTCTAAAATGGGATTTTTTTAAAGAATTTTTTTTCAAGGGCCAACAGACCTCTAAACCTGGATTTCTTAAAGAAAATTATTACTTCAAGGTCCAACAGACCTCTAAACAACAGACATCTAAAGGTGAATTTCTTAAATAATATTTTCTCAAGGACCAACAGACCTCTTAACTTGAATTTCTTAAAGAATATTTTTTTCAAGGATCATTAGACCTCTAAACGTGAAGTTTTTAAAGATTTTTTCAATGGCCAACAGACCTTTATACGTGAATTTTTCAAAGAATATTTTTTCAAGGACCAACAGACCTCTAAATTTGTATTTTTTTAAGAATATTTTTCTAAGGACCAACAATACTCTAAACGTGGATTTTTATACGAATATTTTTTCAAGGACCATCAGACTTTTAATCCTGGATTTTTTAAAGAATATTTTTTCAAGGACCAAATAAACGTACATTTTTAAGAATATTTTTTAAGGACCATCAGACCTTTATACCTGGATTTTAAAAAAAAATATTTTTTCAACGACCTACTAGACGTGGATTTTTTTAAAAAAATATTTTTCAAGGACCTACTAAACGTGAATTTTTTAAAAAAAATATTTTTTTTAAGGACCAATGTAAACTTGGTTTTTGAAGAATTTTTCTTTGAAGGACTTAATAATCATGGGTTTTTAAACAATATTTTTTCAAGGACCAAATAAACATGGATTTTTTAAAAAATATTTTTTCAAGGACCAAATAAACGTGAATTTTTTAAAATATATATTTTTTCAAGGACCAAATAAACATGGATTTTTTAAAAAACTATTTTTTCAAGGACCGAATAAACATGGATTTTTTTACAAACTTTTTTTCAAGGACCGAATAAACATGGATTTTTTTACAAACTTTTTTTCAAGGACCAAATAAACGTGGATTTTTTTAAAAAATATTTTTTCAAGGACCAAATAAACGTGGATTTTTCTAAAAAAATATTTTTTTCAAAGACCAAATAAACGTGGATTTTTTTAAAAATATTTTTTCAAGGACCAAATAAACGTGGATTTTTTTAAAAAAAATTTATTAAAGGAACAAATAAACGTGGATTTTTTAAAAACTATTTTTGCAAGGACCAAATAAACATGGATTTTTTAAAAAATATTTTTTCAAGGACCAAGTAAACGTGGATTTTTTAAAGAATATTTTTTCAAGGACCAAATAAACTGGGATTTTTTAAAAAAATTTTTTTAGGACCAAATAAACTGGGATTTTTTAAAAAAATTTTTTTAGGACCAAATAAACATGGATTTTTTAAAAAATATTTTTTCAAGGACCAAATAAACGTGGATTTTTTAAAAAGTATTTTTTCAAGGACCAAATAAACGTGGATTTTTAAAAAAATATACATATAATATTATATGGGGCTATACGAAGACGTGTACCTACATGGTCCCTGTATTTTTTAATATATATATATATATATATATATATATATATATATATATATATGTATATTAAAAAATATAAAAAAATACAGGGACCATGTAGGTACAAGTCTTCGTATAGCCCCATTTAAGGGGGTTCTGCAGACTTATGTCAAAAGTTCCACGTCGTATAGACCCTCATTCGAAATTTTTTTAATATTTTTACAGAATTTTTAATGGATTTACATTTTTTGAAAATTGCCAAATTTGTGCTAAATTGTGGAGGGTATTCAAAGTTCGGCCCGGCCGAACTTACAGCTTTTTTATTTTACAAATACGTTTCAAATGGTGAAGGGTATTCAAAGTTCGGCCGGGCCGAACATACTGCTTTTTTATTTGTTTAAAAATATTTTCCATAAACCAGCAATGTGAATTTTTGTCAACATTTTTTTAAGGACCCATCGATATGTGGATATTTTTAAATACCTTTTTTGCAAGGACCAACAGATCGTTTGATGTGGGTTTTTTAGGCATATTATAAAGCCCGGATAAAGAAAATTCAAGAAGAATAATTTTAAGGACTTATCACAAATCTGTATATCATTCTTTCAATATTTTTAAAATTGTGCAAAATTTTCAGAAAATGTCTTTGGAAAATTTAATATCAATTTGAAAAAAAATTAATTTTGCCTTGAGAAATATTTCTCTTGATAAAATTATCGAGGAATTTTAAGTATACATTTTTAAGGATTTTTAAGAAGAGTCTTCATATTTTTTGTTGTTCAATTCGATTTTTATTTAAATTATTTTCAATCTAATTTGAAAACATCGAGCTCAGTTTTATTCACTTTTTATTGAAAAAAAAAATTTTTTAGGAAAATTTTAAAGTGGTCTTAAATAGCACTTTTGAAGGACAATAAATTCCCCTAATGTAGCACAACTCCATGCCGCCTAATCTCATATTATCACTTTTTCTACCTTTTCAAAACTTAATATTTATCACCCAAAAAAAATGTTGGTTAAAATTCATAAGTATTTTGAGCTGAAGATGGGAGGACTTGCAAGTAAAACAAATTTTAAATCAATACCCTTAGAAATTAACATACCAGACACCACGATAAGAACCTGGTGGCATCAATCATACGCGTACACATGAATCATGTGAATAAAACCCGCACACAGTATATCCGAAACATACTGACAATCGTATGTCTTTCGCCCTCAAACCAAACGGACACACTAACTTCTCAACAATAGACCGGTCTGCCTACCATTTCGCATCCCCACAGAAACCCAGACTTACACACACACCACACATTTTTTCATGTCCTTCCATCCTTCCTTTCACCCACCAATCCACTTGTGTGTGTGTGTGTGTGGATGGGAGGCTTAAACTGCTCTCATGTTTTTATCATCATTGGCCATATTAAAACATTGATGACTTATTTTTGCCAACAAACAAGCCTCGTTCATTGTTCGAACTATGCAGTAACTTTACACAAAGTATCTACGTGTGTGTGTGTGTGTGAGTGTGTGTGTGTTTCGACGTTTGTCTACATGTAAATATGCCAACCAACCAACCAACAGACACATACAAGTTTGTAATACAAAGAATTCCCCCATGCATGTTTGTCAGACAGTAGTGGGGCTTAAACGCACCCTAATGACACAGGCCAAGTGTGTCTTCCACTTGGTTTTTGTTGTTGTGGTTGTTGTTGTTGTTGCTGTTAGTATTGCTCTTGCTGTCGATTGGGCTTAAAGTGCCAAATTAATCGGTAGAGCAGCCTATGACATTATGGCTGAATGACTTATTGCCAGACTAGTTGGCTGCCTGGGCTGACTGGCTAAATACCTCCACGTTTGACTACGGGGCGTTTATGGGCACATCCGTCCAGCCACACAAACGTCGTTTATACATCTTTTATATTTGTGCACTGAGCTGAACGCCAGAGTGTCCTTCCGTCTCGTCTGGCTTTGGTTAACAGCAAATACCTCCTCACCTGCCTATCTACCTGTATTGAGATAACAGTTTTCTTCCGCTTAAACAATTTATTTGAACAGATTTACTTTGCATATTTTTCAGCACCCAACTCCGGCCAGAAGAGCTATCCTAAATTG